ACACCAAACAGCCATCTTCCAACCTGTTCTGCCGCTATAAGTTACTTTTCCCTCTCTCCTTTCCTCTTGCTTCGCAGCAGGGCTTTCATGAGAGATTTACATCAGCAATTATTTACTACCCTTTAAATTGATTTCTGGAGATTATCCAAGGTGCTTCATGACCCATAATTGGGTCCCAAGCCCAACTTTGGGAACCAAAGTGCAGTGGTTCCCAAACTTTTCAGCTTTTGACCCACAAAATAATAGTAGCAGAGACCTGTGCCCKCAACTATTTTTGGATGATAAACATTTGTATCAGATCAACAAAACATGGGCATTGTAACAATTTTTCCATTTTAAGTATACTAACCTCACTCKGTTGTAACAACTAGGGCAAAAATATAATTCAGAAAATCCTTTCAGGACCCCACCTTGATGTTTCGGGACCCCACTTTGGGTCCCGACCCCAACTTTGGGAAACACTGTTTTAAACCATTCTCAACACATTTTTACTGTATCTATTTGTAGATATTATTCTGTATTTGATGCATCTTGAAAATCATATTCACATCTAATAGCATTTAGCTTCCAAACTTAAATAGCCATCATTAATTTTTTTACCAGTAATACTTTTGGTCAATACATATACCAAAATTTTAGTTCATTTTTTGATATCAATTTTTCCTCTGGCCCAAGGACTAATTATGTGAAAAGGTTTCAATGCAGTCAACATACAATATTTCATAAATAGTATCAATATATATTTTTTTATATTTTCACATAATTAACAATGAAAATAAAAAAAGCAGTGGCCCCAGGAAAACTGCATGTTGTGTCCCCTCTGTTTAACTAGTTTTGTTATTTATCTTTTGTGAAAAAGTATATATTTTRCCCTGTTTTCTGAACTTAACCGGTGATATAGAATGGAACCGTATCAGTATGACTAAACTAAATCCCCACTGTGCTACACAGAAATGTTTTGACGGATAGCTGTGCGAGCTGTGAATCCACCGCAGTCAGAGTCATTTGCACATCCTCCCCACAGCGGGCTTCTGTCGGACAGTCAGAGGAGAAACTCGCTGTTTAGAAAATGGCCGACAGATTTTCTAGGTTCAACGAAGAGCGTGATTTCCAGGTAATGCACGTTTTAAAACCCCAACATTTGCAGCAGCTTAGGCGCGCCGATGTGCTTCAGAGCATTAAAAAAAAGGTTTAAATGCCACGGGAAGCGGAAACGTTTTATTTATAAATAGCTGCTTACGTTTCGGTGTAGATGTCGCTTGTTAGCGCTGCATGCTAATGCTAGTTCACTGCGGCTATTTTGATAAAACTTCCCTAACATGCAGTATTTTACTCCACTCCTACGTGTTCACCCTGTGTATCAGTCTTTTGCTTTTACTTCAGCTGTTTTGATGTAGTAACAGCAAACAGAACATTGAAAATTAACCAGCTTGATGGTGACCTTGGATTTGTTGGCTATTTATCGACATATGCTAACGATGTATGACAGGGCTAGCTTGTCGGAACAGACCATTTTGATCATACTTTACCAGTGCACCTCTTTACCAGTTTATACAGTCGTCCATTCGAGTTTACCCTACTCTATTATTTACTTTAAAGCTCACAAAATGCAAGTTTTGAACACAGACAATAACATTTTAATCAACTCGTCAATTTCCTCATAAATAGTATGGCTTGAGTTGAGAATTTTTTTAAAGCAACGTTGAAGTTTCTGTAATTATTACTTTTATATATTGTTTAGTGTTGTTTTTTTATTCAGAATATGCTCTTCATTGGGACTGAAGTGAGCCCAACCCAGAACTGATATTGATTATCTCTTATTTATGGCTGCATTTTTTTTTCTTTGTTTGGCTTTAATATGAATAATTAAGATGCATACAGGTATTTAATTTCATATTTATTTATTCTTTGTTATTAGCATTGTTTAATCTAGTGGTTTTGTCATTTTTTTTACCTTGTAGTTTCAAAAACATAAAATAGCAGAGTATTTCACCACTTGTTTATCTTAGATCTGAAACCACACCCTGCAAGAGCTGAACACATTTGTTGATCTTTAAAAACAAAAAAAGCCTGTTTAAAATTGCTGCTTGATTTGCTCATTACTGAGGATTTTAGGTTTATCCCTATTTTTTTCTCTTTTAAAACCCCTCCCCCATCCCACATAATCTCACCCTAGCTGTCAAAACCCAAAAGTAACCTAACAGGTTTAGTGATTATTAGAACTGAAAATGAAATGAATACAATCCTTATTTCCTTGCTTGTAATTGTTGCTATTATCTATCTCAGTGGTTGGATCTCAAAATATTATTTTAAACCCCCAGTTTCAGTTGCTTCCAACCAGCCGATCAGTTTTTCAGTGACTTGCCAAAATAAAGTTTCTGTAAGTACTTCCTTATTATAAAGTAATTTGAATGCCAGCTCACAGAACTACTAATCTAAATTCTTGAAACCTGATTTGTTTCCACTTACCCTGATAGTTAGTTACTATCTCCACATTAGAAATAACTGCTTATTGTTATTATTATTATTTAAATAGTTGTTTATTTTAAAGGGACTTTGAAATAGATTGACTAAATATGCAATAAAACTCTTTGCGACTTGCAGTAATGCAAGTCATGGTTTTTAAAATAGCTTTCAGCTGCATTTTTTTTTTTATCGAACAGTGTTTTCAGCTGTTTTGTCAGCGAGAGGTGAATTGCTGTGTGGTGTGAATGAGTCTGTTGAGGGTTAGCTCTGGCACAGCACAGTGGAGCTCTGTGTTGCGAGATCTGCTGCGAAGGCATTCATATGCTCAGTATTCAGAAAGTTTCTCTCTGACTCAGTGGATTAAATCTTGCTGCCAAGCAGCACGACCCAGGAAACACCCACAGATGGTCTAACTGATATCTACTGCACAATCAGCCTACCATTTTTTTTTAAATAATTTAATTTGTAATTGGATCTTTAGCATTAATTGAAGTAAGTTTAAAGCTGCAATTTTTTAGCACCTAGTTTCCCTATGTGAGGTGGTACAGAGCACTGTCTTAAGAGATGTGGCAAATATAATATTTTTTTTACTCTTGCAATGACGGGAGGACAAAGGCCCTAATATTCTTATGCAGCATTGCAGTAGAAACTGAGTCAAGATAATGAGAAAACAAGCAAGAGGGAACGCACTGTCTGAGTGATTGTACTGATTGCACAGTAAGTGGTCTTAGCAGAAAGTCTGGAGACAAGATAAGAAAAATAACGTTGAGCTAGGGCTAAACGATATGGCTAAAATTTATATCACAATTTCTAATTTCAGTTGATGTAATAGTTTCGATATACATATGATTTGTCAGAAATACTGACAAGAACACAAATATTTACTGTACCTACAAACCTGATGTCATTTAAGACATCTTTAAAAGATATATATGATTAGTCAGAACAAAAAGCAAGATCTCAGTTTTACTTTACGATTAGTCATAATTTAATTATCTGAAATATGTCTCAGGTATTTACAGTATATATCTTGTACAACTTAATGGTAAATCTGACACATTTTATACTAGTCAGAATGTAATTGCAGACAAAATATATTAAATAAATATAAATAGGTATTTCAAAATATAATTAGAGATATCTTAATTACCTAATGTGTCTAGTCATAAACCAATTTCAGATATCTGGTATTTAGCAGATTTGATGTCACAACAACCTGCCATACAAATCTGTGTTWACAGTCGGCTTCACTTGCTCGACACAACTGCTGAGGGGGAGATAGTGGTCATTTAGGAAGAGGGCTTAAACTTTGTGGGTGCTTCATTTTCGTACACTCAGAATGTTCTYTCGAGTATAACTTTATTAGATGGTGGAACAGATTTGATGTGTTCCTGCTGTGAGTTGGTCTGGAGTCGGCACCGCTCTAACTCCAGCACATTTTACAGTAGAATGAAAGTTGATATTTATCAGACCTTCGATACCCGAACCACTTCCACATATCACATGTCATATCACTGTTATTGAAACGTTTTCTATCGCAGCTGATGAAAAATTTATTTTCCTCGGCATGTCTTCTTCTCATAATCCCAGGTTTCACTCATGCAGATTTAGGATTTAGTTTAATTAAATTAAGAGTCAGCATTGCGGCATTAAATCAATTCATGATGAGTTGATTCTGCAGATTCCTGAGGTAATGTTGCCCATAAAGCTCAATGTATGGACTTGTCACTTTATCCTCAAAATGACCCACGATCCCTCAGTCTTAACACTAAGACCTTGTGGGTCATCTTGACACACAATAACATAAAAAGTCAGAAACATGGTAAATGGCCTGAACTTATATAGCGCTTTATCAAGTCCCTACGGACTCCAAAGCTTTTTACACTAGGAATGTGCGATATGGCAAAAAATTCATATCACGATGTACATAATGATGAGTGGTGGTAACGATATAAATCAGGATATAAAACTTATAATAGAAAATAAATAAATCACACATTAATTGAGTGGAATAAATATGTATAGGTAAAAAATCTAGACCTTAAAATCTCCTTTTTTAAGGGACATTTTAAAGT